TGTACCCTAAAAAAGCCGTTGCGCCTCGGGGGCTTCCTCACGGTTCTTTTCCTGGGAGCAAGTTATTCACTACTCTTAACTCAAACTGGGTAAAACCATATAAAAAAGGACTATAAAACAGAAGTAAAAACAGAAAGAGAAAATGCTTGGAGCTTGCACAGCTGTGGGCTCAAAAATCACGTCCACGAGCGTCCGGCAAAGATTGAGCCCCGATGAAGGTCATCTCCTGCTTCTTATAGCTCATGAGTCTATGTGTTGCATCATGTTGATGTTTAGCTGACCGTATCAGAAACTGACTTGAACTTCGTGCAGCTTGCTTCTATGCTTCAGGGTTACAGATAGCTCTCCTCTATCAGACCAGCTCCAAGATGTGCCCATATCCTGTGTATTCTTAAAGACATGAAGGCTGTCCTGATTAGATGACCTCCGTACACACAGTGACATCCACCATGTGAAGGAAGGCCATCTACTCTGTCTAATCTGGCTAACAGAATAACAATGCACATGATGTATAAATAATAAACCTAACACCCATTATAATACATTTAAGTACCGCAGTGATGATAGAGGAATTAAATATGTAGATCAGTGAAAAGACGGTATCTTACCTGAACAGGGTGTCGTTGGTAGCGGATTGTTTGACGGGGTTATGGCAGTCGCTGTGGCCCTCAGGAACGAAGCCTCTCTGTTTCCTAAAGCTCTGAACCCCTTTAACCACGATGGCCACCCCATCACGCACTCTCTTCCTCAAACTCATCCTCCAGCGGTCCGTGATGATGCTGATTAAGCCCACCGGGAAGCTGTCGGGCGGCGGGATGTCTGGGTTTCCCACAGCCATGCTGGGGATAATCCAGATGTAGCCCGGCCCTACGAGTCCAACTTCAGTTGCTAATGAAAAAAGGTACTGCGCCTCCTCATGGGAGCAATAGACTAACAGGACCTGGGCATCAATCTGCTGAAGCAACCTCCGCGCTCGTATGTCGTTCATGCTGTCGGCCGACATGTCGAAGGACAACACGTCCTGCAGATCCCACATGAAGTAGCTGGTGTCGGTGAAGGACTTGATGTAATCCACGTAGGCTTCATAGCCGGGGTACAGGCTCGTTATGACCACAAAGCTGTCCCAGTTGTACTCCTCCATCACCTTGAACATCCCGTTGATCTGCTGCTCAATGGAGGAGCCCAGCTGGAGGAAGTTGGAACCTTCACCCTGGAGGTAAAGGAGAAAAACATGGCATTGTTTCCTTTACTCAGCATGATGCTAGTCATCCCCAAAAAAGTTAAAACAATCCACCGGACTTTGTTTCCAAGTTTGAAGAAATTTTGCTTCCCATCCAGGAAGCGTTTTAAATTCAAAATGTCAAAATTAGCGTTTAATTAAAGGCTTTATATGGTAGCCTTGTTTCGGCTTCGAAAACATGCAAATTGAACCGGACAAATGGATCCCTTGGGAATGGGCAGGCGTTGGGTTCTTTGCTAGTCTGCAATACCCGATACTTGTCTTTGTCTCTGCAAGGGGTGATGTTAGAGGGAATTGTTGGCTTGGCATGGGGATGGGGGCCGCGAATGACTATGACCTGGATAACTGAGAATCTTCAACAGCATGTTGCTAATCATTTGTTCCTGGACCTCTGGAGGACATTATTTATACCATGACAGATTGCATATTTTAAACAAACTCTGCTTTGCAGAGACCTAAGCTTTATTTTAATGGAGTGAATGTTGTTTCATTATTGATCCAATCAAAGAGCCTGTTATGTAAAAGGAAATTTGAAAAAACTACTGCAATTAAAAAATAAAACTTTGAAACACTTAATCAAAACAAGGATTTGAGAGTAACTCAACACTCTGCAGTTTTCTTCACAGCCCCAGTCACACCTTGACGATTTAGACCATCGTATACCTGACACATGAAAAATCTGGCCAAAACGCTGGCATACGCTGGAGAAGTTATGGGCACATTTTGTACAAGTTATGAGCTTGCAAAAACATGCAGAAACATGCTGGCACACGTCAACATACGGCGAGGATGCAAGCACATATGCCAGCATATGCCATACGTGGGACATAAGTTCCAGGTCAGTTATCTGATGGTTGACATACGTTTAGTGAAAGTTACTACTTGTGCATAAATTCTGCGTAACTTATCAAGAACTTTTCTCCAACGCATCTGACGTGTTCCAGACGAGCGCTGAACGTGTTTCTAACTTCCAGCTACTGTATAATGGCGTATTGGCAGCGTTTTGGTACTTCCTAGCAGACATGATGCTGAATCTGCTGCCACTCATGGGCGTAGGTTTGCATAGGGACCATAGGGACATGTCCCTACCAACATTTTGGACCGACCTACTTGTCCCTACCAACAATTTACGGAAGAGGATTAGGGCTACTGAAAAAAAAAAAAAGGTTAACTGATTTTTAAATTTTATTTCAGTTTAACATGGGAAAAAGTCAGAATTCTGACTTTTTTCTCAGAATTCTGAC